CAGCTTAATAAAGTGGGGAGCACTAAAACAATGGTGTACAAAATGAAACTGTAGTGAAGCATGAGTGTATCCAACCAAACATAACACTTCCTATAATTTTCAGAAGTGGCGGTGGTATATTCTGAGATCTGAAAAAGTACATACAATAAACAAGAACTAGTATGTCTATAACAATTAAAGGATATAAAAGGAAGAATTCAGAAAAAGAAATGCTGAAATTATTTGTCGATTCAGGTCCTTTATATGGAAAATCTAAAAAATATGAGTGAAAATGCTGTTTATGATTAGCAGGTTGGTGAAGGGTAATATGGAATACCAAATGTATATGAATTAGACTGTAATTGAATGCAAAGAGAGCTGTTGTGGAGGGGGGTGTGTACAGAATAAAGAAATGGATGGATAAAATGCAAGAAAAAGTCCAACATCACATTGCTACATAAGAAATTATAAAAACAAAATTTATGAAACAGAGAAAGACTGAGAGGGAAATTTAATATAAGTTAGTGAACTACCGGGTAGTTAGCAGTTATGGATGGAATTTTTAGATATCAGTACCCATTCAGGTTGGTAAAAAAATTATACCTGAAATCTATAAACTATACACAAAGAATATTTTACTACTGTATTACTACATATTCATTATTTCATGGTGCAAATTCTAAAGATGACAAATATTGTAAATATATCCTCTGCAGCATGCACATAAAAACCATATATCATCTTCGGCAAGATACTAAATATCCTACAAGTTCCTTTACAAGTTTACTGTAACCTTTAAAAGCAATGTGCCTATGTGTAATATTGAGGACACAGTTACTAGTCCAACAACCATACAGAGCTACAATACAAGAGGGATCTTGAACAGCAACACTATCAGTAGCTTACAAACATTTGCCAGATTACCACGACTTTCAGGGAATACTGTTACATTCTTGGTCAAATCAAATAATGACATTATTTCTCACTATAGAAACTATGCTTAATCTTTTAAAAATTCCTCACAAATAAATAAAATGAACTTAAAACATTAAGATTGCATATCAAGATTTTCTAATAAAACTATCTACTGTATATAAGTCTATTGGTATCTGTCGCTACAGTTTTGGCAACAAGGACTTGACAATATAACACTTGAATTGCTCAGAGTGAGTGAGGTATAAAAGGCATTCTTACTGTAAGTGCGCACGCACGTGCAGGCACACACACACACACACACACACATTTACATATACAAGCATTACTCTTAGGGCTTGTAAAGTCCATTCACACAAATAAAAAATATTTAAAGTCTGACGAATAAAATTATTACAAACACTCTGGAACTATCCATTATCCACTAACTACTTGTTGTAGACAACATCCTACCTTGTACAGGTAGATCCCAGTTTACAAAGCTTCGGCTAATGAAAATACACCAAGTTATGAACAAATTAATTCTATCCCGTGTAAAGCCAAAGTTATTTATATAATTATTTCCATAATTTGGTCCTATGTAAAAATTAAAATATGCTTAACCAATGCAGCTTATTTTCCTACCAGTATGCTTACTTATTCAATGTTGTTTTCCATCATGAATCAGTGGAATGAAAAAAAAAGAATGTACAAAAATATGAATAATCTTCATTCACAAGTGTAAAATTATTTGTATAAACTTAAATAAACTTTATAATTAATTGAATGTCTATTGTTAAAACTGACCCATAATAAATGATTTTTGTTTGACAAAAATTTTTCCCAGGACTTAACTTCCCATTTTACATTTATTCTCATGGGTATACTGTAATTGATCCCCATATTGTCATTTCCCTTAAATGTCCCACTTTCAAGGAAAAAAACGCCAACCTTAACCCTTAGGCCCCAGGTGACGTTCCAGAACGTCCGCCTATTCCCACTATTTTTTTTATTTATTATTGATTTTTTTTATTATTATTATTTTTTGTTAAATTAAATTTTTTCTCGATTTATCCCTGCGGGGAGATGGGATACTGCCAGCAGCACCCTAACCAGGGGATTAAGGGTTAAACGAGGACACCTTGCATATGTATTTCAAGAGTGGAGTACAGTACAGTAGAACGTCGATATAACACGAGATATGTTCCAAGAGAGGTCACTTTAAACCGAATTCGCACTAAATCGAAGTGTTGTTTCAATGGAATAATTTAGTTTGGTACATGAGAGAAACACAAAATACTAAAAAGACTAACGCCCGTACTATTAAACAACATCTTCCCTTGAAGAGGGTCGTCGTGTTTCAACCCGAGTTTTAAACTAAATGAGTCCTGAAGGACACCACAGTACTGTACAGTACTTAACGGGGTGGTGTGGCGGTAAGATTAACTAATTCCAATAAAATTAATTTATAATATTGGAATTAGTTAATTCTAACGCCACACCACCCCGTTAAGTACTGTACTGTGGTGCCCTTCGGGACTCATTTAGTTTAAAACTCGGGTTGAAACACGACGACCCTCTTCAAGGGAAGATGTTTATTAATACGGGCGTAAGAGTCTACCCAGATGCGCCTCAGCCCATCTCCTAGAGTAAACAAAACATTTGTTCTTTGTAGTATTATGTTAAAACAAACACTCATAAATCAACACAGCTAAAGTTATGGGACGTGAAATGGTCTGTTTACTAGTGATCAGCTGATGCGAAAGGGGGGTTGAGGTGATATGTTTGACAGTTGATGCCAAGGTCTAGTGCTTATTTATTTATCTGTCCTTAACCCTTAAGCCCCGTGTTAGGGTGCCGCTAGCAGTACCCCCCCTCGGAGGGGTTAAATCGAGAAAAAAAATTAACTTAAAAAAGGGAATAGGCGGATGTTCTGGAACGTCACCCGAGGCTTAAGGGTTAAGAATGACTAAGTTTTTTTCTTATAAAATGTTACTAAACTGACCTGGGAGAATATAATTAACATTGCTGGAATTCTTATAAAATGGTGATTAGTTTGAATATAAACATTCTATAGTTCACATTAGACATAAAAATTTTAGTTCTAATTACAAATGGCTAAAAATTCTTATAAGATAGTGATTAATTTGAATGTAAACATGCCATAGTTTGCACTAGACAAAAATTTTAGTAATCATTTTGTACATTATTCTGATTACATGTACAGTTCAGCTTTGTCCTTAGGACAGTGTGTGTGCATGTAAATGAGTTTCAATAAATGAATAAAGTTACATATATTGAGCCAAAAATAATAGTTGAAAAACTTTATGTAGACAGCTTGGATGGCTACATTTTAGAATGACCAGTAATTTTAATACTGTATAAAAAATGCACAAATATTAAAGAGCAAAATTTTCTTTATATTTACTCCATTGGAAACGAATGTAAACATAAAAGAGATTACTGAATTGGCTGAGAACCTCCTCAGCTTATCAGCTGATGTTCAAAACAAAACGTGATTTTCGTAAGGATTTCGTTAATCAAATTTTTTTCATTAACTGAATTGAAGATTCTTATGGAAGGTAATTCGTTAACCGAGGCGTTCGTTAACCGAGGGACCACTGTACCAAACAACTGACTAGCTGCAACAGCACTCATCCCCTCTTTAAACTTTTCTAATAATTCAACTTTTTTTGTCAGGGTCATCACCTGACTTCTGCCTTTTACATTTCACTCCACTAGCATCACTGGCACTGACACTAGGCAGTCTTTTATGGGTCATTTCACACAGAAACACTCAAGTTTTGAGTACAACATGAGATGCTGTGTCACAGGCACTGGTTGAGTGCGAACAGAGGGAGAAGTGACGCTGCGGGCGCGTGGAGTGACTCATTGCGCTGCGGGAAAAGGCTTGCAAGCTAGCCAATATCTGCTTACTGTGAATCGTCAAAATCGATAATCACAAACCCGCGAATGGCAAGGGCTTACTGCACTACTATATGTTCCCCTGATTCATATAATAATCATGAACAAAAAATTTCTAAAATTAAAAGTTAGATTATTTGTTTGAAAAATGTCAACAACCAAATTTTTATTAACATGAACTTGTGGTGTTCTACTGTACAGTATATTATATTCAATGACATCCTGATGCTTATCGATTCCATTCTCTTATTCATACAAAAAAAAATTCTTTATAATATTGCTAGAGATTTTTTTTCCTTATAATACTGTATGTGTGTTCCAAATAAGAGTCACACCTCTCTCTTCTTATTGCTATTTCTTTGTTAATTGTGCAGTCTTTGGGAAGGATAATAGAAGGTATCTTTATTATCCTGTAATATTGTTAATTTTCCACTCTTTCTATTTTGCTTTATTAACCATCAGCAGTTGTATACACAATGTAATTGATATTCCTGTACCTTTCATGAGGTTTTTAACAGTGCCCAAAATCCACATACATACATACTGCACATATATACATGTGTGTGTATGTGTTTAATAAACATTAAGCACAAACAATTGTGTTCAAACTGACAGAGAAAAAGAAAATATCAACTTGAAAGAAAGCTCTTACAAATAAATCTAAATTCATTAATTCCCTGAAAGCTGGGTAGATATTGGCTCCATCTGTGAAGTTTCCCAACATCATGCATCAAGTAGATATCATAATGTTGTAGGATAACAGACGACAATGCTCATCCTCAAACAACCAAATATTTGGGTTCACTACATTCATATCATTTTCTCTAATACATAAATTAATTGTAATACTGTACTACCAAAACATACATTGAAAAAACTTGATCAAATAATTTTGCATTGTGTGAATGATAACAAAAAATACAAATTGTTCATCAACACAAAATTTTAAATCGTTAAAGCGTCACCCAAAACTAAGAAGATGAGGTGGTACTATCCTCTGTTGTTCCTCTTACTCATGCCTAAGAACCCTTCAATGGCTAATCTTTAGCCTGTTCCAAGCCATTCATATCTGAGGAAGGCTTGAGGGGGGTAAATATACACTGAATTAAAACCAGCTCAAACATCTACGTTGCATAAAAAAATAAAACAGACACCCAGAGGGAACAGTGGGAAGGAGTACTTACATCAACCTCTGCCTAAATTCGTCCCAGGGAATTTACGGGGCACAAAAACAAAAAGAAAAAAAAAGAAAAAAATAGGATGAGATGTCAACATAAGATTCTACTACAGATACTGGGATGTTGGGACACAAAACAACAGCAATTAGTTACTTACAATGCCTATACAATAATCTGTACCTTGAGCCAAGTGGGACTCTTCAATCCTATAGTGAGTAACACAGAATATTAATGTTTGTAGGCATAAGTCTGGCTTATGTATGGGTTATGTAGTGTTACTTTCCCTCAGAAACACGATCCTCACAGGGATTAACCGAGATTTATAATATGTAAAGCAATAATGGTATAAATACCATGTACGTACTGTACTGTAATAGTTTCTGTAGTCTCCACATAAAGATGATATATGCTAAGAGCCCATATATTTGGCAACAATAATTCTTAATAGAATTTGCTTTTGTGCAAAGCTGGAAAACTACAAAAAAAATTTAAATGAAAATCTATAATGAGATTAAAACTTAAAAGATTCATCAACATCTAAATACGGTTTTATTGATTATTTATCCAAAATCTATATAACACTTACAATTTCCATTTGAAAAACAATATCATTTACCTAAAATCCATATTACACAGATTTTTATATAAAATTGATGACAAATTTATCTGAGGAAATCAATGACTCCATGAAACGTATCACTATGTCATACATGTTTCAGTGCTTATTAGAAACTAGAAATATTGTTGAAAACACTGAATACGGTAGTCATATTTTTTTTTTTCAGTATGTTCTACACTCTGAACGACACACAAGAGGAAATATCTATAGAGGTGTAATTAATGCAGATGATCATGCTGCAAAAATATGTTAGCCACATATTAATAGAAACAATGTCTGAATGCTATATTAATTCCTACTAATTCATAAAACAATATACTGTAATAAGTCTCTTCTTCATGTGCAATGACAAAACTGCTAACCAAATCAAAACCTAACCTATGGTAATTTAAAAAATCATACGAACAGCAAATTGATAGCAAGTCAGCAAACTTATTGTAATAATAAAATTAAGCATCATGACAAGTATACATTCACAATCAGGCTTTTCTATGCTGCATTAGTGAATCAAGCAAAGAATGAAATGCATTTCTGGTGGCTCAAACATGAAAATATCAGGAAGCAATACTCAACCTGTTAGCCACATTCTAAATAAGCACGCACGCACGCACGCACGCACGCGCACGCACGCACACGCACGCACGCACGCACACGCACGCACACACGCACACACACACGCCACACACACACACACGCGCACACACACACACACACACACACACACACACACACACACACACACACACACACACACACACACACACACACACACACACACACACACACACACACACACACACCTACCTTTTTCAATAAACCAATAATTACTATTATTATTACAGAGCTCTCTGTGAAATCATAAACCCATCCACAGGATAAAAAAAAGTGGTTACATCATTCAAGTTAGTGTGCCAATGGTCCAAAACTTCTGAAATACACACAGACAAATGTATGCACAACCATACTTATAAGTTCAAAGATAAACACTTTGGCAGAACAATAACTATTTCTTACAAAACACACACGCATAAATGCAAGCACATGCACACACAAAATATAAATTGCGTGAAGCCATTAACTGCCATTTGGTAAAGATAAAAGTAATGAATCTTAAGACTTCACAGGTTGAGTATGCTTGGCAACAAGATAAATGAATAAAAAATAAAGAAAAAGACTTCTGATTACCTTAAAGCGGATAACATCTTCCATGCGTGCCGTCTTGCCATCTGCCACGCATGACTGGAAAAAGGAGGGCGCAACCGACACACCTAAGGCCTCTGAAGTCATCCCTGTCTGCGCTCTACTTGCATTCATGGCTATCACTCTGTTATTTGATAACAGGATCTCAGTAATAAAGTACAATTCAAGCAACTACTGTATTAAATTATGTAGTGGCAAAACACTTTTCACTTTCAGATTAAATAATGACGTAACAAAATCGACCAATTTTCATGTTTATCATGTGTTTCATGATGGGCCAATTTTCATATTTTATTAAAAAAAAAAATCCATAGAAACTGGACAAAATTAAAATTAAGGTACTTACAAGATTTTCTTTCCAAGTTAGGGAAATAACAAATCAACAAAGATTGGGTGCCGAGGAGTAATCAAATGGCCACTGAAGTCTCCATACCTCACACTTACTGATTTCTTCCCCTGGTGTCACCAAGATTGTTCAAGAACAATTAGGTGGCACTAAGAGGAAGAAATTAAGAGATGTGAGGTCCAGAGATCTTGTTGACCATTTAATTATCCACATCACCCAATCTTTGTCGATTTGTTATAATTCCCTCACCTGATAAAGAAAGAAAAAATATGAACTTTAATTTTCCTATGGGAGGTGACCCAATATGAGACACCCTGTACACAAATCGATAGAATAAATAAATAAATAAAACAAATAATAATTCAGTATTCACACCCAGAGGTCAGTCCATGCACAATTTTCTTCAAACATTGTAATCCCTGTACGCATCTACACGTACTACACTGTAGCTCGGCTAGATTCATAATTTGTGTCACTTAAATTTAGTCTTCAAGCAAACAATCTTCAATCCTTTCTTAAATATGTCAATATCACCTATATTTCTGCTTTGTTTTATCTATCAAATTATTTAATCTTGGCAGATAACCACATGTAGCTACTTCCACACATACTTCTGCTACTGACCAAGAAAATCAAAAGAAAAAGAATAGTTTCCTCCATAAGCACAAACAGGGTGGATCCGCAAATGAAAACAAAATATATTCTCAGAAGGAAACCAGGGCATAATTGGAAGGAAGAAATAAGAAAGACAAGAGGGTGAAGGGTAAAAATTAACAAGAATAAGATATCTGTACTGCAATATCATTCATTGAAAGTATACAGTACAATAGTTAGTGAAAAAGTGTAACAATCACCATATGATGTAGTGTTGCAGTGACCCTCTCTACTGTTATGAACCATAAAGTATTCTTTAAGTATATTTCTATTTCTGAAAATATGTTCACAGTGACTCCAAGAGAAAAATGCTTAAAGTAGCCTATTTAAACACACCTTCTAGCCTGCTTCATTCTCCTTAAATCTGCCCAATTCCCTACACACATGATCCCTTCCCCTCACACACACTATATTCTTCTCATACATGAACTATTACCCTCACACTTGTTCTATTCCTCTTACATCCGAGATGTTCCCCAAAAACACATGCCCTACTGCCTTCATATTTAATTATTTCCCTCACCCCTCTCTATTTTCCCCACACCTCTTAATTCACTTCACACCTGTGCTATTTCCCTTACATTTCATTTTATCCTTTTAAATCTCATCTGCAACCTAACATCTGTGCTATTTCACTCACAGCTGCTGAAATTCTGAAATTCCCTAAAATCTGTTCCTTCAACTTTATGAACCCTTTCCCATATAATAAAACATAATGCGTAGGAGGGGATGAAAAAAACAATGAAGAGAGTTTAACATGAGAAAATCAGACCATGATTATGAATGCATGCTGTCAGCCATATTGTTAGCTTGTCAACTCTTTTTTTTTTCTTTTATGTGGCCAAAAAATGCTCATGGCAAATTTTTGGCTGGTTTTTCATTATCAAAATCAGACTTCAGCAGAATCAACCTTATGAAGTACTGTATATTCCATAAGCTTCTGCTGGTAAATAGTCAATGGATGAGTTGGCAGTTCTGGGCAAACACAAGAAATACACTCTGCCACGTTCGTAGAGTGATACGGTATATATAATTTGCAATAAAAGTTTAAAGTCCTGCTATAATAGTCGAGATAAGTTGACTTCCCTAGAAACCGGGTCACCATTTGCAATGACGTCACAAGTTTCAAACTCGTCGCTGCAGTAGGAGGTAGTAGAAAGGGTGGCCTCTTCAGACACCAAATGCCACATTCAGATAAGTTTTAAGGGTGGTTTTTTTTATGGTCTAAGTCATGGACATTTCGTAAGTGAAGAAATGTGCCGTGAAGAGCAACTTCAAACATAGGTAGGATGGACTTATTAGCTATAGGGGTTGGGTGTAAACGGGACTGCCCAGTATGAGCCATAGGCCGGCTGCAGTTTCCTCCATTCTTATGGACATAAAAACTCCCATGTTTACACCAGCTCAGCTGTCATGTACTCTTACCTGGTAGATTTTCCTCTCTTTTTTTTTTTGGTGCATTTACAGAGTATGTCAGTACTAGATGGAGATACGAGTCAATTTAGAAATACGTAATGACATTGTCTGGACTTTGTTTTGAGAATGCCTGGTGCTAGTTAACATGACAACATAGTGCTGTTATTGTTTTGATAATTCGCTTATGAACCACTGGGATATATCATTTATATTAATTAATGGGTAAAATTTTACTTTAACTACCATAAGTATTTTGTTGTTTAGATTCGAGATAGGCTATATTAGGTAAATTTTAAGTTTTGGTCATGCTTGTACTTAGACATGCAGACTTATGTTTTTTTTCTGATGGTTTGCAATGTGTTATGAATGATTTAGACCTTCATTTCTATCGGAAATCACTAGTTTTGAGTTACTGCCTCCCCCCTTACTGATGTATGTTAAGCTAACCTTATAACTCATCATACCCTAACCTAACCTAACATATGACCTGTATTTTCTTAAGCGATCAAAAAATGTTTTGGGACAGAAATCCTGTAGAGATAATAGGTCTTAATACTTATAGTACTTAATCCCATTGTTAGAATCTTAAGGTTCCCCTGATGACCAAAACCAAAATAATACCAATATTGTTTGGAATGTTTGTACTATGACATTTGTTGTATGGGCAGCTAATATCCATTGAATTAGTTAATGTGCTTAGAAATATTTATATAACTGTATTCAAAATAGTATTACTGTGTTGCACAATAAAGCACAAATAATTATCTAATAATATTTATTTACCGAGCCGATCAGCCGAGAAGGTTGCACAACTACAGCTGGCTGCCTCTTTCCCGCTGGGAAGCTCGCCCCAACCAGTGACGTCACAACCCATCACAGAGCTTTTCGCAAGCACGTGACTTTTTAACATCTTTAACCCTTATTTTTTATACTTTTTGGCCCAATTTATTTTAAAATATTACCATAGTGAATTTAAGAGTTTTCTTTATCCACTGACCTGCCATCTTACGAAAAAATTCCGACCGTCAACTCGTCCATTACAATTTCTTTCATTTTTCCTAAATGTTTGGGAGAAGAAATTCACATTGCAAGTCCTGGGTAGTAAGTACTTAACCTTCTTTAACTGCATACACATGCTCAGGAGTACAGTAGTACTGTACAGTATATATAAAGTGGATTTTCCTTTAAATCAATGTACTGTACTGTACTGAATATTGAAAATCTGACCATTACAGAAGAAACCACTATCTTTACAATTACCTGAAGGTGCCAAAGAGCAAAACAAGTAGGTGTTGTGTGACAGCTGGCATAGATGTGATGAGGCGATGGATGTGGTCGCGCTGCTGCTCTGTGTCTGTAAGCTGAATGATGGAAAATAGCTCTTGCTCACCCTCACGCCCAAAGATACCCTCCGGTAGTTTTCGAAGAAACTTCTTTAGGACGGACGCAATTGTGTATACTGAGAAGTTGTCTGTAGAAGATATACAGTACACATTTTTAGTATTTTTCACTGAAAACAATATATGGTAATAGTGGAGCAGATGGCCAACACCAGGAGTTGTTGTTCAATCACATTCATTTTTCCCACAGATGTCCTTTGGATGATAGTAAGTAATAAAAACAATACGACAACTTTTATTTTATTTATAAATAATTTTTTCTAGTTTATCTCTATCTACGGTCATAAATCACCAGTAGTGGGAAGGATATGAAGGATGAGGTAAATTGCAGGGTAAAACACGGTGAAAAACTGATCATATGACACTAAAATGATGTCTCTCTGTGCTTTGTATGTGAAGAAATTAATGGTAGTAATGGGGTTGATGCATATACAGTACATGAAATTACATATTTAGAACTCACATGTACCAAGGACCTTCTGTACTTGTTTTTTATTCATTGTAATTAAAGAAAAAAGTTTTTCAATCAGCTTTCATCCTGTAAATATTGTATCTAAGATTTTTGTGTTATTTATCCTGAAATATCTCCGTGTTACATTACCAAAATGTGTGTGTGTTAATTGCAAAGAATGAGCCTGAGCATAAGGACTGAAAAAGTTAAAAATTTTATTGAGATGAAAGTAGTGAGATTATGTTTAGCATAGCTCACACTTTGGGTCTGTCTCTTACCACTGTTTGTTCCAAGATTAATATGCAGGGCAAAATTGAACTAGGAGTCAAGTCAGCTACTGTACTATACTTTCACAACAAAAGTAAAGATACAGATGATTAGGGCACGTTCAGTATACATTATACTACATACAGTATTATAAAGGTATTGACTCGTTTATTTGCTTGGATGGATGTCATAGGGAACAGTGGCAATGACTCAGAACATAACCCTCCCTCATTATATTATTGCTTATGACGTATTGCTTTTTTTTTCAAACGAGTGATGTTAGCGGCGAATAGGAATGTGACCCCCCATTATTCCCTTAATTCTTATGGGTAAAAATTCCCCAGTATTCATCCCTATTTCTTAGAATGTATCCCCAACAAACAGTGGGGACCAACTATAAAAGAGATGATAAAGTGGAAAACCTTATCACTGCATTAGTGTTTAATGTCGCAAGACAAATAGATCTTATTTTGGAAAATACAGTACTGTATACAGTAAAACAAATCACACGAAGAATGATGTACAAAATATGACAAAAACTTAATACTGTATAGCACACCAATATTGACAAGGCGTCCATTCTGTAAGAAGTGTATCAATTTTTTCATGGATCCCTGATGACCTGGGGCACGAAAGACGTCCTTCTTGGTGGGTCCCTCTTTATTTAGCTTGAGGATGAGCACCAACAAAGGCCCGGGAATGTCATTCTTGCACACCTGCTCCAGCGATACACCAAACTTTACCCTGAAATATACGTGCCTTTTAGTAAGTTTTGTCAAAATTGCTCCATAGTCTAGCTTAAACAAAATATATATATATATATATATATATATATATATATATATATATATATATATATATATATATATATATATATATATATATATATATATATATATATATATATATATATATATATATATATATATATATATATATATATATATATATATATATATATATATACACTGTAAATCTGTACATATAGATGATATGCAAATAAAGGAATTAGTTTATAGTGTACTATGAATATGTCAAGAATATTTCCACTATAATTTCTTGTACTATATGGAATACTGTACTGGACAAGTGTGATCCCAGGTTAGTTGGAGGTACAGTACACTTAAAATAATTTAATGCTTATTTACAAATCTAAATATAAGGTGGCTTTAATACAGTAATGTATGCATACAGTATTTAGTTAATACAGTATAGTACTGTACTGTATACAGTAAAGCAATACAATGTTATTATACAAAGCATTTCATTCCTTTAAGATGTTATTTTTCTCTATGTAGCTAAGTAACTTGGTTCTGGTGTTATTTAAAAAAAAAAGGTTACTCAAGAAAATAAATACCACCACCTTTTGAAAGCTCACTTATAATAGACTTCACTCTAACTACTGTATATCAAAAAGACATTACAATTTGAAATATACAACTTTTATATTTCTCTTTATGGACAACACTAAACATATCAATTTACAAGCACCTATGAGGGACACTGTTAATTCTCAAATTCTCATATTACAAGAATGTGAATATCAAATCAGTTCATATTCTAAAATGGAATGGAAAGAGCATATGAAAATGGTTGGTTCTCTTAAAATTACTCTCCTTTATACACAGTACAGACCTGAATTAATTAATCAACCAAAGATGAGCTTGCATGTATTATTCCTTAATATTAACATTCAAGTTCCAAGAAGCAGATAATGCTAATCAAGTTGGCAAGAAGCAGAACTATTTTTACTGGTATTTACCTGCCATATTCTTACTGGTACAAACCTATAGCACTATACAGTACATTACTAATTCTTATCAATGGTAAACAAATATATTTTTTTAAATGTTATATATTTAGCTGCATAATTTACATATGTATAACCATTCCCATACATAAATCAGCATACAGTACTGGTTTATTATAACAGAACAAGATCATGCATTTAAACGTGTGTCTATATCCATAAATAGACCAATAGGTGTTATAGTTGAATACAATCATTTATTTACAAGTGCATGCCAATGTCCAAATTCAAATCAGCATGTGCTGATTGCATATATTCAAACTATTAAATCAAACCTACTATCAACACTACAAAATCTACTTCTGATATATTTTTACTCCAAAAACTACATTTATCTACTTCCAATTAGCCAATACTGTACTCACATTGAGTACACAAACCTGTGCAGAAACTTTTTTAATATAGTAATCCCACCAAAATCCAATACAGTACTTTATCTATTTGTGATAGGGGAGCATTCCCAACAAAACATGACATTAAGTAAAACAATACAAGTTGAACCCCATTTTGCTTTTGACTTAATGATGCAAATTTTCAATATGGTACATTCCTGGGAGTCTGGCCAAAATTTGGAAAATAAAATATACATTTTAATAAATATGCATTAAGAATCATAGAAATTGTGATTTTGCAAGTTCTGTTGATCTTGATTTTTAATCCACACATAATAATTGTATCATAATAGCCATTGCCTATCACTGCCTTTTGTTATTCTGGCAGCATTTAATGGGGTCACAATTAGAAAACATTCTCTTATTTTATCAGCATCAGTACATATTGTTCTCATCATCGTAGCTAGTACAGTACGCCAAGTGCCCTGCCAATATCAACTATTGTACATGTTATTTACTTCTAATTTAATAGCTTCCCTTGCCTTCTTTCAACTAAAAGCAACAATATCACTTACTTGTCATTTTACACTCATTTGCAGGGTATTGCAGATTTACCAGGTTCAAACTCAATATAAGAACCACACAACTGGGTCTTAATCAATTTGGCTTTGATGCACACAATGATATCAGGGTACAGTATGTGGCACAGTGATAGAGAGTTGTGTCATTATGAACTTTTAAAACAAAGTTATAATCAAACACAGCATTTAAAATCAAATCATGTTCTCTTATCTGTCAGCAACTCTTTGGCAAAATAATGTAATGCAAATAGGCACAACATAAATAAAGGACTTACTGTATTCCTGAATTCAGAATTCCTCCTATTTTAGAACATTTTGGAATTTTCAAAAGCTAGAGTTGAAATCTCTAATAATTCACAATATTCTAAAATAAAAAAAAAATATGAAAAAGAAGGCTAATTCTGTTCAATTTGAAACCATTCTGAAGGATAATTCTACAATTTGTAATCTATAGTGAAAATCTTATAATACAGTATGTATACTGTAGTTACCACAAGATAGTGCAGTAATACAAAAATAACTACGTACTTTCAAATTTGTAACATTCCAACAATACATTTAATCTGATACTGTAAGTACGGTGCAATTATGATAAATACATTTAGATTCAAAACCTGGTATATTTTCACAAATGAATACTGTACAGTACTATAGTTGTAAAGTATTTGTGTGCATGAGCATATGCGACTTCATCTCCCATCTACAATACTGGTAATTTGAATCTCGTCCGGCACTGTGCTCTTGTGAAGCAGTGTAATTTCAATTTATAGTCATTAATTCAAAATAAAACTGTTCTGAACTATTATGTACAACTCTTGTCCTCATTATTATTACTCACTATCATACTACAGAGTAAAACCAGCATAAAACTATTAAAAGTTTCAAAAGCTCCAGGTAGCTATCAACATTTTCATTCAAACTTGAACCTCTCATTAACATCCCCATCTACTGTAATTCATCTATTAGTGCATTTGTATGGGATCCTGCAAAGTATGAATACCAGTAATTTATAAATTGACAGGAAAAAATCCTTCTGGCCCACACACACATCCTTCCAGCCCACAAACATCCATACCTACACTTTTAAGAATCTAAACTCCTATATGATTTTCACATTTCTCTTCAAACACACAATAATTCTGTTTTCTGAAATACAAACATCCTGGTTTTAACTACATTTAAATTCACTTTTCATACATACACTGTACAGTATTCAAACATTAATATTATAAACTCTGCTATTGATTTGCTTACTAACACTAAAATTCATATGATATACAGTGGGGTATGCTATAACGAACGGAACCTACTACGAACATTCCTATAACGAACGGTTTTACGTATAAAATTGAGAATGCTATAACGAACGAAACTCCTACAACGAACATTATTAAAAAAAAAAATAAATTATTTTTTTATTTACTAAATTATATATTTTTTATTACAAGTATTAATGATATTCTTTATTTCAGGGGTTTAGATGCATATTTATGCGCTTTTATACAATTTTTACAATTTTATATTATATTTTTCAGTGTTAAGTGGTTGTATTTGGGGGCCTGGAACGTATTAATCCTATAACGAACGAATGCTATAACGAACAAGGTTCTAGAACCAATTAGATTCGTTATAGCATACCCCACTGTATACAGTACTATGTATATTGTACTGTGTACCACAGCAATGCATTCACTACAGGTTATAATTTATTCCTTACTTCAATTATGTATAGAGAAAGGAACACATCCTCATTTACTCTATTTATTTGTATCTCTATATTTTCTTCTGGAAGCACCCCTAGAAGAGGAAGCCAACTGCAGAAATTCTTGCAATAATTTCAAAATAATTATTTCCACACCTTTTTGTGTTAGAACCCATGCAGCAAAATTTGAAGTGGTGTACAGGCTTCTGAAATGTGTGCTGATTTAATACTCCACACTGATGGCATTTTTTTGAATTGAGATACTGTACAAGATTATACAAAAAAGAATGTTGCCTTATGAAGCACACGCGTGAAAAAGCTAAAAGGCAGGTAAAATAGAGAGACCTAGAGTAGTGCCCAGTAAATGTAATTGAAACACAGTGATAACACAGCCTTCATTGAAAAGACAAAGTGGAATTTAAGAAAGTGATTATGGAAATACAAAAAAAGTGGAAGCAGCCAATGTGGCATCAATGAAACATATGGTACCTCACTGTCCCTGCTGGTATTTCCACTGACAGAAAATCCAATCAATATCCTACCACCATATTCTTGTCTTATTACAATTTAACATTAACTCAGTCACAAAAATTTATATCACCAAAATAATTTGTATCTCTACAAAAGTACTGTACCTTACAACCTGTTATATTTTCTCTTCAAGAATGCTTGAAGAGAAAATAATGTTTGGAAGGGACTCATTTCACCTCATTCTTCATTAAATCTCCTTGCATTGCACTATCTTGGCTCACTAGGAAACTGGTAAACTTCTACCTTTATAGTAATAGAATTTAGTCAAGAGTAGATAAAATGTAATTACCTTTTCTTTGGGACACTATTCTTTTACACTCAGGCACACAAATGAGGACACTTCTGTAACATTTCATCTCTTCATTCAGACTTTTTTTTAATACACTTTGTGATACTACTTCATAAATGTACAGCATTCCCAGATACCCAAATTTCTTCAATCCACATAGGACACTGACATTCTTGTTTCCACAGCATGTATAAATACTCTGATGTTTCTAGCATCTTTTATCTATCTAACTAGGCTGACAATATTCTGCCATTCACATTTCTCATATATTTCTTTCAAATATTTGTCTCCTTAAGAAACCACCAAAGAAAAGTCCCCATGTCATCACATCATGGACCTTCAAGACTGTTCTATTTCCCTTGCCCCCTTGTGACAAATTTATTCTAAATACTTCTTCACTATCATTCTAAAAAGATCAAATTTAAGAGAACTAATCTGTCTCAATGTATCAATCTTTTTTTCTTTTTTTACATTTACGGTCATTTACATTTGTCCCTTT